CTGAGCCCGGCCACCCTACGGAGGAAACTCATTTCGGCTGCTTGTATCTGCGATCTCCTTCTTTCGGTCATAACCCAAAGCTCATGACCATAGGTGAGGATTGGGACGTAGATCGACCGGTAAATCGAGAGCCTGGCTTTCTGGCTCAGCTCCCTCTTCACCACGACAAATCGGCTCAGCGTCCGCATCACTGCAGACGCTGAACCAATCCGCCTGTCGATCTCCCGATCCCTCCGACCCTCACTCGTGAACAAGACCCTGAGATACTTAAACTCCTCCACTTGAGGTAGGACTTCTCTCCCGACCAAGACTTGGCAAGCCACCCTTTCCCGGTCGAGAACCATGGTCTCAGATTTGGAGGTACTGATCCTCATCCCAGCCGCTTCACACTCGGCCGCGAACCTACCCAGCAAGAGCTGAAGGCCAGAGCTGGATGAAGCTAGGAGGACCACATCATCCGCAAAAAGCAGAGACGAGATTCTCCTGCCACCAAACTCGACACACTCCACACCACCGCCACGCCTCCATAAAGGTAATGAACAGAACCGGTGACAAAGGGCAGCCCTGGCGGAGTCCAACCCTCCCCGGGAACAGGTCCGACTTACTTAACTCTTGCTCCTCTGGTAAAGGGACTGAATGGCCCTTAACAAAAGGCCACCCACCCCATACTCCTGGAGCGACCCCCACAGGGTGCCCCTAGGAACATGGTCATAAGCCTTCCCCAAATCCACAAAATACATGTGGATTGGTTGGGCTAACTCCCATGCCCCTCCATCACCCTTGCAAGGGTATAGAGCTGGTCCACAATTCCACGGCCAGGACGAAAACCACATTGCTCCTCCTCTATCTGAGATTCAACTATCGATCGGACCCTCCTCTCCAGTACCTTGGAGTAGACCTTTCCAGGGAGGCTGAGAAGTGTGATCCCCCTATAGTTGGAACACACCCTCAGGTCACCCTTCTTAAAGATGGGGACCACCACCCCAGTCTGCCACTCCACAGGAACTGCCCCCGATGACCACGCAATGTTGCAGAGACGTGTCAACCATGACAGCCCTACCACATCCATAGCCTTGAGATACACAGGACAAATCTCATCCATCCCCGGGGCTCTGCCGCTGTGTAGTTGTTTGACTACCTCAGCAACTTCTGCCCCAGAGATTGGACAGTCAATCCCCAGGTCTCCCGGCTCTGGCTCCTCCTCGGAATGTGCATAGGTGGGATTGAGGAGCTCCTCAAAGTATTCCTTCCACCGCCCGACTATAGCCCCAGTTGACGTCAGCAGTTCCCCATACCCACTGGAAGGAGTGTGAGCGAGTTGCTGCCTCCCTCTCCTGAGGCACCGGACAGTTTGCCAGAACCTCTTTGGCACTGATTAATAGTCTTTCTCCATAGCCTCACCAAACTCCTCCCACGCCCGAGATTTTGCCTTGGCTACTGCCACTTTTGCACCCCGCTTGGCTATCCGGTACCCGTCTGCTGCCTCCGGGGACCCACAGACCAGCCACGCCCTGAAGGCCTCCTTCTTCAGCTTGATGGCTCCCCGAACCTCTGGTGTCCACCAGTGGGTACAGGGATTGCCACCACGACTGGCACTGGCCACCTTGCGACCACAGCTAGCAACAGCTGCCTCAACAATCGCAGAGTGGAACAAGGCCCACTCGGAGTCGATGTTCCCCACTGCTCTCGGGACGTGGTGAAAGCTCTGCCGGAGGTGGGAGTTGAAGACCGTCATGACAGGTTCTTCTGCCAAGCTTTCCCAGCAGACCCTCACTATGCGTTTGGGTCTGCCAGGTCTACGCGGCATCTTTCCCTGCAGTCTGATCCAACTCACCACCAGGTGGTAATCAGTTGACAGCTCCGCTCCTCTCTTCACTCGGGTGTCCAAAACATACGGCCGCAGGTCAGATGATACGACTACAAAGTCTATCATCGACCTGTGACCTAGGCTGCCCTGGTACCAAGTGTACCGATGGGCATCCTTATGTTCGAATATGGTGTTCGTTATGGCCAAACTGCAGCTTGCACAGAAGTCCAATAACGAAACACCACTCGAGTTCAGATCAGGCGGGCCGTTCCTCCCAATCATACCCCTCCAGGTCATACTGTCATTGCCCACGTGAGCATTGAAGTCCCCCAGCAGGACAATGGAGTCCCCTGATGGAGCACTATCTAGCACTCGTCCCAGGGACTCCAAAAAGGGTGGGTAATCTGAACTGATATTTGGCGCATAAGCACAAACAACAGTCAGGACCTGCTCCCCGACCCGAAGGCACAGGGAAGCTACCCTCTTGTCCCCCGGGGTAAACCCCAACACACAGGCAGAGTCTTGGGGCTGACAAAAAGCCAACCCCAGCCCTCCGCCTCTCACCCGGAGCAACTCCAGCAAAGGAGAGTGTCCAACCCCTCTCAAGGACTTGGGTTCCAGAGCTAATGCTATGGGTCGAGGTGAGTCCGACTATATCTAGCCGGTACTGCTCAACCTCTGCCACAAGTTCCTGTTCCTTCCACGCCAGCGAGGTGACATTTCATGTCCCAATAACCAGTTTCCTTGTCCGGGGATCGGACCACCAAGGCTACCGCCTCAGTCTGCTACCCGATCTACACTGCACCAGACCCTTCATGTTCCTCCTGCGGATGGTGGGTCCACAGTTAGGAAACATGGCATCCCGCAAAACCATTGTACTATTTAGGCCAGATTTTTATGATTATATGGTACAAAGCCGCCAATGCTTTTCAACAAGTGGACATCATTTTATCAATTTCCAACAATGTTTTGATGGATATTTTCAGAGATTGAAGGTAAAAACAACAAATTGTCTCTTCATACCAAATGTCCCAGCTTTAATGAATGTCTCTTTTTGCAGCTTTCGGAATGAGTCATTTTATAATGACTGGGAGGATTGTAGAAGTCAGATTACAAATGAAAACATTTTGTTTTTATTAATCACACACTGTCTCAGAGAAACCCACACAAGAAATTACTGCAAAACATAAGGATGATGTTTGCTACCAGTTCAAAAGGAATCATTCTAAACTCCCTGAAACACATGAAACTACAATTATGTTGGATCAATCAATTTTCGTTTATGAGTGATAATAAAACACTCAGTCAAACAAATAATCAGTCATAATAAAAAAAACAACAACTAATATGGTGACAAACAGGACTTCATCACATTTCACTAGGAGATGGTTTATCTTTATGCGCTAAAAATAAACTATTTTAGTTTTTCCTCTGTTATAGGAGCTACTTGGTGTCAGCAGATCGATGAGGTGACTTCCAAACTTGTTGAACCTGAAACTTCTATTGCTTTCTGGTCCTCAGAGCGTAAATTCTAATATTAATCACATCTCTGAAGCTCAGATGCCTCAAGGTCAAAAATGCAAAAGGATGGAAACCCGAGTCAAGAAGACAAAATATTTACCTCCTAATTGGGTTAATAAACAGGAATGTGGTGATATTTATATAACAAAAAATTGAATTGCATAAAAAATATCTTCCATATTATTTATCAGGCTTGATTAAGTAGAATAAAGACCAGATAGGAAAATAAAAAACTGAGTCAGACATCATCGCTCCACAGCTTATACATTCATTGCCTTAGTTAATATTTTATAGAGCTCTAAAAAACTCATTCTCTCTAAATTGTCCTTCCTTCCAGGCAATTATAATTTAGATTCAGGGAGTCTCTCAGTGAAGCGGCAGCCACAGCCCACACATGCACCCTATCTGTGCACATGTGCACAGGACTTACTATGAAAATCTCATGTGCATGTATTCAGAAATCTCATTGTTTTTATATTTCATTTGCCAGTTGCCGGTATGTATAAAGAAAATTTATTTTTCATTTTTACATCTATAAAAAAATCAGAGACCAGAGTGCTTCCTGCTTTTCTGACAAGCAGAAGTTATTTTCTATCTCCAAATGCAAAGTGACCAGAGGCTTGGCATCTGCCTGAGGGCTCAGTCGGCTGACAGTACGCATCGTGGGGAGTGATCTATTGATCCATATTCAATATCTGCTACACACTCCAGCTCAGTAAAGTTGAAAGATGAATAAATAAGGAGCAAAACTGCCAGAGCTTACAAGTATTCCAGGACCAAGCGCATAAACGGTCTTACTTGGCCCTGTCTTGTGTAAATATAACCCCCCACCCCCACCCCCACCCCACCCCATCCAGCATTACTCAGCTGACAAAAACAAGACACCAAACAGAACATGGTATCATTTCACGATTACCTAAAACAAGTTCAGTCTAAGATTGAATTTATTAAGGAGAGATAAAGAATAAGGAGACCATGCAGGATGTGGTGGTGGTGGTGGTGGTGGGGGGGGGGGGGGGGGTCACCATCAATACATCTTTCATCCCTAATGAGGTCTGAAAGCTACAAAAACACAGAAATTGACAACAAACTCCGAGAAAAGCACTCTCCTCCTTTCATTGTACATCTTCACCTGCTTGCACGTGTTCCAGTCTCACTTCAGTCCTTTTCTCACCTGCTGTTCCACAGATCCACAAGCAGCTACATATCACTCTGCTTAGATTTTATTTTTTATTTGGCTACTCAAGGTGTCTGGTTCTCCAGATGTTTCTGTTGCACAAAAATCGGATGCAGAACATCAACATGTCACTTTGGAAAAGATGGTTTTTATTTCAGTTAGGAAAATAAGTGAAGGCATGTATAAACAAATGTGTTTTTTATCAAACATTAGATATTTAATTCAATTAATGATCATTGGTCTGTGTTTTTCAACTGAGGTTGGAATAAAATGTAAATATCTGAGTGGAAACAACATTTAATCATAGTATTAAATAGATGTAGTTATTTGATTTGTGGGAAAAGGTCACCTGCAGGATGAGATGATGTGTGTGTGTGTGTGTGTGTGTGTGTGTGTGTGTGTGTGTGTGTGTGTGTGTGTGTGTGTGTGTGTGTGTGTGTGTTTCAGAGGAGGGCGGGGGTGCAGTAGGCAGATGCTGAGGAGAGAGAAGCCGGGTAGAAAATACAACAAGTGAGTGAACTGTTGCTCTGCAAATAAACTGACTACCGACATTCACACACAGACGGTCAAGGTAACTTGTCAGAAACTGCTGTTTAAAAAAAAAGTTTTTTTGTTTTATTGTTATTTTTAAGAGCAGCTTTACTCGTCATACAGTTTTTTACTCTTTAAAAAAGAAAAAAAATCCGTTGTGTCTTTGTCGGAGCGCTTTGGTGCATTTTGGACACGAAGGGAACTTCCGGATAAAATGTTTAAAGTTCTAGATCAATAAAATGATTCTGGATCCGCCAAGCTGAGATTGGACCGGAGCGCAACTTCGGCCGGATGCGCCGGTAAAAGCGCTCGGTGTTTTTTTTTCTCCGGTCCTGGACCGGGAGCAGCGTCTTCACCGGAACCAGCAGCTCCAACACTCACCACATACCGGGAGGGAAGCAAGGAAAGGGCATAAAGAGAAGGAGAAGACTCGGTAAGTAGATTTTTGAACGAGTTTAGTAAAAAGTCTTGACATTATTATTTGATCTGAAACATCAAATTTAGGCGTGTTTTCTGGGATTAAGGATTAAAGTGAAAATTTGGTCCTTAATTGAGCATAAAACATGTTTGCTGATATTTGACCAATTTAGTGCAAACAAATTATTTAATGTTTTCGTTTTATTCTTTAATCATAAGGACTCTTAATTTACAAAAGATGATGAGTAAAAATATAGTTATTATGATCCATTTTAAGGAAGTTATTTTTATATCTATTGTAAAATTTATTTATTATTTTCATAGTAAATATATTTATTTATTGCAAGTTGTAACTTCAGCCATACCCTTATGTCTCTTCTTCTCCCTCCAGATTGTTGTGTGGAGACTGATTTTTGCTTCATCTGACCTGCCTTTTAACAACAGATTCAGTGCCCGTTCATCAGACATGGCCGTTTTTATTGGCTCTAACAAATCTGGATTCTGGATCATATTTCTGAAATAAACCTGCATTTCTGACCATTAGCAAACAAAAGCACAAGGGGAAAGAAGAGCAGAGGTTCTGGCCGTTTCCCCATTCTTTTCTTCCCGTTCCTGGACATATAACTGAAGTGCCTTTTCCCTGCATGTGGTGGGTGAGATGAACTCCAGTGGGAATACTGTAGACCCCACCTGACAGCTCCCTGCCAGAGAAACTGAAGGATTTCCACTGGAACGCACACAACCACAACGATACTGAAATCTGGCATCTCATCAAACAGCATAAAGATATTCACCTTTTATGATGCAGTGTTGGGGATTGTACAAAAGTCCTCTGTGAACCAGAGAATATTGAAAAATTAAGAAGATTCAAAGAAATTTAAAAAAATGACTAAAACATTATTGATCTTTTTCCCCCTGGCTGGCTGTCCTTAAAGATTTTAAAAAGCCAGATTTCCCTCCACTCCCACTAAATTCAACATTTGTACTTGTTTTCTGGACTGCGTGGTCCCTTTTTGCCCAGAGGTCAGCCTGGCCGGCACAACCATTCCAGCTAAAGGGGAGGAGGACTTCCTGACGCTGGCCGCCTCTCGGCTCAGCCGGAAGAAACGTGTCATTGGGGCTGGAGTTGGCGTGGCGATGGTCCTGGTTCTGCTGGTGGCCATTCCCCTATTGGTCCACACCACTAAGGGGGCAGGGTCCGGAGGTGGGGGCACACATTTTGAGATGCTCGGGAGCTGCAAGATGGTGTGTGACACTTTGAGCCCCCCAGAAGGAGAGCTGACAGAAGTCTCCCCTCAGCCCCCAGACTTCCAAAATCGGAGAGGCAAACAGGGTTTCAGGGGGAGTCCCGGACTTCCTGGTCCTCCAGGTCCTAAAGGCCCCCCTGGAGATCCTGGTAAGCCTGGCCCACCTGGTCTTCCAGGGCCTGGACCTGGTGGTTATGGCTCCTCCTCCCACACTCCTAAAATCGCGTTCTACGCAGGCCTCCGGAAGCAGCATGAAGGGAATGAAGTGCTGAAGTTTGATGACGTGGTGACCAACGTGGGGAATTACTATGAGCCAAGTACGGGCAAGTTCACCTGTCCTCTGTCCGGTATCTACTACTTCACTTACCACGTCCTGATGAGAGGGGGGGACGGGACGAGCATGTGGGCTGACCTGAAGAAGAACGGACAGGTGAGTGGTCCTATGTGGTCTGATGTGGGCTCTAGTTGACTTTACTGAACTGAAAACCCTCAGTTTGCCAAAACTCCACAACAAATACTATTTTATCTCGCAGACAACAATGAACTCAGACTCATTTTACAATACAATGAATGAAACAAGTTTTTTCTTCAAATATTTGAACTTCACGTTTTCACACCGGACCTTTCATAACCTTTCTGACACACCCACATGACCTGTTTAAGTCCTAAATCTCCCCAAAATTAGTTTGAAATATATTCTATTCATAACTAGCTGTTCATATATGCCAATATTTCAGGTTTGGTGCTTCATTAGTGCTGAAATAAGTTTTAAAGTTTTCCAAGAGGAGAACTGATTCTGAAGCTTTAGTGTTTTGTTTTGGTGTTGACCATTTTACACCCTCACACAGCATCCTGCTGGTGAGAGAGGTTTAGGGTATGAGGTGAATGATTAGAAGCAGTGAAATTAGGATGTAGTGTCAGATTTGGGACAAAGACTTACTCAACTAAGGAAGCAAAAAGGCGCATTTTGCTTTTGTTTAGCTTGCAAACTGAAGAAGGGGAGGAGGAGGGTTAGAGTGACAGCCAAGCGATCAAGAGGATAACAATCCCTCTTGTCTCAGTGAAACAAAGCCAAAACACAACAGCTGGCTACTGCCTCCTGAGGGATTGTGACTTTAACTCTAATAAATAAACAAGTAGAAATGTCTGGAAAAAGCCTTCCATCTGGAAAACGGAGACAAGCTTGAAGTGCTAAAGCCTCAGTCTGTTGAGGAGCTCTGATTCAGAAATGTGCGCTGCAGAACGGTGGAGTTTTGTCCAGGGGATAATTTGGGATGAAAAGAAACAGCAAAGAAGAAAACAAAACCAAATTGTTACAAGTGTTTGGTGGTCTAACAGCTTTTCTGCACGTAGATTTCATTTTAAACTAAAAGTCGAGCGATGCAGCACCAAAACCAAGCTGTTGAAGGCTTTATTGACTCCATACGTCATAACATTTGAATGAAAGGTCAGTTTTTATTTAAAGTTGACTCTTTCAAGACAGACAAATTTAGATGTAATCAAAGTTATTAGGTGTAATCAGAAGAGGGACGGTGTGGATTCCTGCTTCAGAAGGACATCAAACATTTCAACATTTAAAGCTGCTGGTATCTCTGGGTTTGCACAGAAATGTAAAACATCTCAAGAAAGGCTGAAGATGTGTAAAAATATTAGGCATTTGAAAAATAATATGTATTTAAAGGAATAATTTTGGTCACATCAGGCACCAAACTTGGTTAAAGTCAGAAGGAAATGTTTCTTGAGTGTCATTTTATCCTCTGGCTTTTGCAATCTCAAAGGAGCAACATGTGACCTTGGAAATCCATCAGGAGTTGCACCAATCCAGCAGATTCAAAGCCTGACGAAGAAGAAGGATAAAGGTCAAGAGTCAAATATATATATAAGAAAATCCCAGCCCTGAACTGAACTATTTGCCTGGCGAGCCATACCAGCGATACTCAATAGGCGTCCCGCAGGCCATGTGTGGCACCCGAACCGCCAGCACCCCCCCGGTCCAGCCATCACATTTGCGCTGGAGGGGTAGGAACGGCGCAGTTGTGTATTGGTGATATTGTATTGGTTTGTGTTGTGTTATGATCCGCCAGCACCCAAAACCAAAAACATGACTGTCAGGTTAATTGGCCTCTCTAAATTGTCCTTAGGTGTTAGTGTGTGTGTGCATGGTTGTTTGTATTGTGTATCTTTGTGTTGCCCTGTGATAGACTGGCAACCTGGACTGGGTGTACCCCGCCTGTTTGCCCGTTGACTGCTGGAGATAGGCACCAGCCCTCTGCAACCCTGCTTGGACATGCGAGTTCAGATAATCGATGGATGGACATGTGTTAGCTTGTTGCTCCTCCTCATTTGACCTTGTGTCTCTCTGAGCTTGCAACACAACACAACGAAAGGCAACACAATGAAACACAATGCGAAGCAACACAACACAATGCAACACAACGCAACACAACACAACACAATGCAACACAACGCAACGCAGCACAACGCAACAAACCACAACGCAATGAAAGGCAACACAATGAAATGCGACACGATGAAACGCGAGGCAAAGCAACGCAACACAACGCAATGCAACACAACACAACACAACACAATGTAATGCAACTCAACACAACACAACACAATGCAACACAATGCAACGCAATGCCACAAAGGCGACACAATGAAACGCGACACAAAGCAACGCAAAGCAACGCAAAGCAATGCAACACAACACAACGCAATGCAATGCAACACAATGCAACACAACGCAACACAACGCAATGCAATGCAACACAATGCAACACAACACAACGCAACACAATGCAACACAACACAACATAACTCAACGCAACTCAACACAATGCAATACAACAAAACTCAACGTAATGCAACGCAACTAAACGCAACGTAACAAACGCAAGAAAACGAAATGAAACACAACGCAACACAATGTAATGCAACACAATGTAACGCAACACAATGTAACGCAACACAATGAAACGCAACACAACAAACGTAACGAAACACAACGCAACACAATGCAACACAACCATGAAGTAACCAGCAGCACAATCCAGTTACAGAAACATGGATTGCTCCAGTTTTAGACCCAGGAGTAATGACCATGATGAGATTAATGGAAAAGACAACAAAACAGAACAGGCTTTGCATTGTTACCTGTGTTGTGTCAGAATAAAATCATGATATTTGTTAGGTTTTGAACCAAAAATATTTATTTTTATTTGTGCAAATGAGAAAAGTTGTATTTTAGACAGTATTTCAACATTTCCAGTTAAGTATGAACAATTAATTTATCAATTAAATCTTAAAAAAGATGAGTGGACTTTGGAGGACGTTCATACAAAGTTATGTGTTATCTAGTAAATGAGTGTTTTACTTAATCAAAAAGGACAAGGTATTACCAAGTGCAATGTGTTCTATTTCAAGATTAAATGTAAAGGCCACTGAGCTTTTGCAGGAGAGGCTCCAAAACAGTTCAATCCTTCAAATACACACTAAATACTCCAAAAGCTTTTTTTAATCATTATTTGTTACATTCTTTTGTATTATCAATTTTAAATCGTATAATTTATTGTTAGAAAGTTGTCTGATAAACCTTTGTTATATGTTTATCTGTGAAATAAACAAATAATTCAGCTTTGTTCCTTTTTACACTTGATAATAAGTTCAGTCAGACTTAAGAACATCAGATATTTTTTTCTTTGACAGAAAATAATATTTTTTTGATCCTCTGATTAATTATTGAAATGACTCATTAATGAAAATCTGAGAAAAACTTTTTGAACTCTTAGGTTACGTAAATCTATATATTTAATCTACTTCCAGAAATATAAACACATATTTAAAAATATATATTTTGTATAAAAACGAGAATTCACATTATTTGGAATCAATTCAGAAAAATTCCTATTTAAACTATAGTTTTTGTTTCTCAGTAGTTTTACTTATAAAGTACAAATATTTAAAATATACTATGTATATTATGAATTTAAATCCAGTTTTCTTCATGTCCAAGTACACTTTTGTTAATGTGACTGACCAAGTCCATAAAGATATTTATTCCCATTGTTATTGATTTGACAGGAGGTGCAAGAGGAGCAGAGTAAAGGCGACGGACAGTTAAATGCCAGATTTAATTGGGGGAAGCGGGGCGGGGGGTGGGGTCTTGGTTTGTTACGTGTCTTCTTCTCTGACATTGTCATTCCTGTCTTCTCCTGCTGTTAAATCTTTCATAGCCTTTAGATGAGATCTTCTCCCCTTCACCTGTGCCCTCTTTTACAAACACCTTTTCTCACACACACACACTCACACACCTTACACCTCTCCCGTCCGCACTGTCTATTGACTCCTTCCCCATTAATTATCTTTTCCATCAAATAAATTATTTAACCCAATTCATAGCTGATCTCCGCTCACAGGTTCACTGCACTTGCCGCTTATTTCTGAGAGGAGACAAGTGCTCGTGCAGGAGAGCGAGGCTGCAGAGTAAAGTGATGAAACTCAGAAGATACTCTATTGTGGATTGTCCTTCTAAATATCCGGTTTTCTTTTCAATTCCAAGTTATTTAAATGGTATTTTTAATGTTTTAGAAGAAGTATTGAGAGATGTTATGGTGGGAAAATTCAATACAGAAGTAGTTTGACATTTGATGCAACTTTTAACAACTCGTAATAGTTAGAAAGGATTCACATCTCTGTTTTAAATAGCAGAAGACTCCCATTATTGCCCTTTCTACACATTGACCAAGGTACTGGACAAACTGGTCCTTGTGTAAAAAGCTTGTCCTCTAAATTGTACTCATTATTTATCCAAACCATCCCTATAAACTATGTTTGATGGGGATTTGCCATTGAAATGGTTCAAATGATACTTTCTACAGTAAAGAGAAAATGATTTAATGAGATACTGATGCATATATATTCTAAAACTAATTACACATTGTTCCTTATATCTTACACAATGCCCTAAAAAGGGAAACACAATTCCTTTTGACACAATAAAGTATCTCAGTCAGTTAGCATCATTATTTAATATAAAACGTATATTTCAACTCATTTCAAAAGAATTTTTAAACCCATGATGTGTGTGAGCAACGTTTCACAGATCAGATGCATGTGTGTGTGTGTGTGTGTGTGTGTGTGTGTGTGTGTGTGTGTGTGTGTATGTGTGTGTGTGTGTATGTGTGTGTGTGTGTGTGTGTGTGTGTGTGTGTGTGTGTGTGTGTGTGTGTGTGTGTGTGCGTGTGTGTGTGTGTGTGTGTGTGTGTGTGTGTGTAAGTGTGTGTATAAGCTCTCAACAATTGTCAGACTGATATGCACAGTGTTAATCAATGTCTTGTCAGAGGGAACAAGACACATCCTGTGGAGAGATCAGTGCAGAGACAGACACGACTCAGACGAGGGGTTTGACACAGAGATGGATGGATGCTC